GCTGATGAACCAAGATCGGCAAGTCCAATGGAAGGCAGCCAGGCCGGTCCAACAGGTAAGATGGCAGGCTGCTGAAAACTACCAGGATTGGTGGGTAATAGAGAAAGCCCTTGGCTCAAGTCCAAAGAACCAGAGGTCAGAGGACAAGCCAGATGCATGATACAGACCCAGCAGAGAGCAGGCAAGCCTTTCCTGAATGTCCAACATACTGGAAAGCAGGCCACACCACCAAAGAAGCTTCCCTTCAGTTGATTGGTTGCTCATAGCAGGCCTCATTCTACAGTTGATTGCATTATATTAGATCTTATCATGGAGGATAACTACATCTCAACTGCCAAACCACTAAACTCTGGCCCAGTAAATTTGAAACAAAAGTTTAACTATCACAAATGGAAGTAAAGAAAGATGTCAAAGCTACACTGGAAGCACTGGCAAATAACAAGTCTCCTAGAATTGATGGAGTAACAATAGAAATGCTTCAAAAAACTGATACAGCACTGAAAACACTCACTAGTCTATGACTAGATAGCTGGAAGATAACTACCTAGCCAATCAACCAGAAGAAATTAATATATGTGTCCATTGTAAAGAAAGCTAACACTACAGAATGAGGACATTATCGAACAATATTATTAATATCACACACATGATAATTCAAAAAGGTTGCAGCACTACATCAAGCCTGATTTAGAAGATGACTTGGAATGAGAGAGCTCATTGTGAAGTCAGAAGGAATTTGGCTCAAAGTAGAGAAAACCAGAAAAATGTTTGTTGTTGTTAAGTGCCTTTTGAGTTGTTTCCCTATACAGGATTTCTAAGGAATGGCTAGTGGGTTTGAACTGTCACCTTGCAGTTCACACTGACCAATGCTTATCCTTCAGTGCCACACCAGGACTCCAAACACATGTTTACTTGTGTTTTATTGACTGTGAAAAGGCATGAATCATAACAAACTATGGCTATTATTGTAAACAGTGGGAATTGAGGAACACTCAATTGAGCTCATACGGAACCTGGACACAGACAAAGAGGCAGACATTAGAACAGAACAAGGGGATATTGTTTCTTGTTGCTAAGTGCTGTTGAGTCAGGATCTGACTCATAGCAACCCTGTACAGTTGGTGAGTTGGAACTGCCAGTCTTTACGGCCCAAACCAAATTTGCAGTTTACCGCATTAACTGGCAGCGCCACACCAGACACAGACAAAGAGGCAGACATTCGAACAGAGCAAGTGGATATTGAATGGTTTGAAATCAGGAAAGATGTATGTTAGAGTTACATCCTTTCACATACTTATTCAATCTGTATGCTGAGCAAATAATCCAAGAAGGTAGACTGTATGTAGAATGTGGCATCAGGACTGGAGGAAGACTCACTGACAACCTGCCTTACGCAGATGACACAATCTTTCTTGCTGAAAGCAAAGAGTACTTAAAGCATTTACTAATGAAAATCAAAGACAGGGATTAGCTATTTTGAATTAAGGCAATCATATGGTTTCAATATGGGTTGCAGCTCAGTGTAAAGAAAACAAAATTGCTCATAACTGGACCAATAAATAACATCATAATAAATGGAGAAAAGATTGAAGTTATCAAGGATTTCATGTTACCTGAATCCACAATCAACACCCATGGAAGCAGCCCTCATGAAATCAAACAACATATTTCACTGAGCAAATCTGCTGCAAAGAGACATCTTTAAGGATACCACTTTGAAGACTAAGGTTTACCTGACCCAAGCTATGGTATTTTCTATTCCCTCACATGCACGTGAAAGCTGGAAAATGAATAAGAAAAAACAAAGAATTGATGCATATGAATTATGATATTAGAAAAGAATATTGAAAGTCTGGAATAACAGAAAACCAAACAAATCTGTCTTTCAAGAAATGCAACCCAACAGAAGAACGATAAAGACAAAGATACAAGGAGGTAAGCAAGGGCTAAAGGGGATATAGGTAAATCGTGATATATACATAACCTTGAAACAATGCGGTTTTGTGTGTAGATACAGGGACAGAGACAACCCACAAATATATAAGAGCTTGAAAGGGTATATTTGGACATGGGTATTTACCTTTGCTGCAAACACACCTATGAATGTAATAGAGCAGACAACGGGCAAAATGACGAAAACTGCTTAGATATTATCAAACATCTTAAGGCAATGAGTTCCTGGGCCTGGGGCTTCAGGACCAAAGTCTCAGAGGACACCATGGTCAGTTGGCATCACATAGTCCACAAAGATAATGTTCTACATCCTACTTTGGGAGTAGCATCTGGAATCTTAAATGCTCAGGAGTAGCCATCTATGGTGCAAGAATTGATCTCTCCAGGTACAGAAGAAAGAAGAGTGATGAGAAAGACTGATGTTGCTTGAAATCAATTAATCCAATGGACCGATGGGACATGTAAACATCAGTCTCCATGACTCTGAGACCAGAAGAACTAGATCGTGCCTGATGACCACTACCAACTGCTTTGCCCAGCAGGGATCACATTAGACAGCCCCAGATAGAGTGGGAGAAAAATGTGGGGGAAAAAATTCAAAATTACTTTTTAAAAAGTAAGACTGGATTTACTGGTCAGAAAGAGACTAAAGGAACCTGAGACTCTGGGCCTTGAACACCCTTCAGATCTGGAAAGGTGTGGCCCGATTTTCAGTCAGCAGTGGTGGTGGTGGTGGTGGTTATAGTAGAAAGGTAATAGGTGACAACACTAGTAATGTCTGCTCACCATGGAACGGCCAATCATTCAAAATCAAAAAGGCAGCATTTACCTAAGGACAAAGTTAAAAAGGAATGGGAAGGTAGGTGGACTGGAAAGAGAAGGCACAGGGAGGAGGCATGGTGTTGCATGGAGCGTATTTCAATCATTGAGATGAAACTAAGTATAAGATTTGATGAATATAGAACTGAAGCTCTTGTTTAAAAATTGCATTAAAAACCAGGTTTAAAAAAACAATAATGAAAGACAGCCCAAATGCCTCTTAAAGGTGAGGGTAGTGAGACTTCCTTTCACAAACTTTGGACATGTTATCAGGAGGGACCACAGTCTGGCAAAGAACTTTATCCTTGAAGAGTTGTTGTTGTTAAGTGCTATCGAGTCAATTCCGGCCCATAGCAACCCTGTGTAGGATTTCCGAGGAGAAGCTGGTGTCAGCAAACAACAAGGACGACACAGACTGAGATGGGTTAACACAGTAGCTATAATCATGGGTTTAAACATAACAATGGTGAGGATGCCACCGACTGGACAGCATTTCAGTCTGTTATACAGAGTCTCTAGGAGTCTGAGTCAAATCAACAGCACTTAACAACAACATACTGTATTTGCATACATGTTTACATGAGTGTGCAGGCACGTGTAAAAGGGGCTTCAAAAAGTTTGTGGAAATGGAATTGAAAGATAATTGTGGTTTTGCAGCTCCTTCATATAGGCGTCTATACTATTGTTATTAAATGCTGTTGCGTCAGTTCTGACTCACAGTGACCCTCCTCTACAAAAGAGCTTCATCTTTTTCCCATGTAGCAGCTAGCAGACTCAAACTTCTGACCTTGTGGTTTGCAGTCCAGTGCTTTTCATATGGAACCACCATGCTCCTACATATATTTATCAGTTGCTCATACATGGAGTCCTGGTGTGGCGCTGTAGAATAAAGCACTGGACTGCAAGGTCAGTTTGAAATACAAGGTTAATGGTTCAAACTCACCAGCCACTCCGTGGAAATCCTGTGTAGAGTTGCTATGAGTTGGAACTTAACAACACTTAACAACAACAACAAGTGTATATATGGAATCCTGGTGTGGCACAACAGGAGAACGCACTGGACCAAAAGGTCAGTTTGAGCCATAAAGGCGGTGGTTCAAGCTCACCATCCACTCCTCAGAAACCCTATCCAGGTCACTATATGTTGTTGTTGAGTGCTGTCAATTGGTTCCGACCCATCGAGACCCCAGACAGGTTTTCCGAGGAGTAGCTGGTGAACTTGAACAGCGGACCCTGTGTTCAATCCGATTTTGCAGCCCAGCATATTAATCCACAGCACCATGCCAAGACTCCATATGTATGTATACACATATACATATATGTTGCTGTTGTTAAGTGCCGTGGAGTCACTTGGACTCATAGCCATCCTGTCTAGGGTTTATGCATGTATGTAGGAGCAAGATAAACATTACTACCACTTACATGAAACGTACCTTCTTCTTTACTTAGCTTCACTAGCTGATCACTAAGCTAAAAGAATTTAGACTTCAGTGGCCACACATGACAAAGATTGCAGACTTTATAAAAACAATTAAGAAGAGTCACTTTAAAAAAGTGAAAAATCAAACAATAACATAGCATTACATTGTTGTTGTTGTTAAGTGCCGTTGAGTCGGTTCCGACCCATAGCGACCCTGTACAGGGTTTCCGAGGGTGTAAATCTTTACGGGAGTAGAAAGCCTCATCTTTCTCCCGCGGAGCAGCTGGTAATTTCGAACTGCTGACCTTAAGGTTCGCAGCCCGATTCGTAACCACTACGCTACCAGAACTCCTGTAGCATTACATTAATAATGAATAAATTACAAGGGGGGTAAGAGAGACTAAATACAAGGTACAAGAGATCAAATGAGATTCAACATTGACCATTTTTATTCTGCTAATCTGATTTATAAGGCGCTCTGGTAGCATAGTGGTTATGAATTGGGCTGCGAACTGCAAGGTCAGCAGTTCGAAACTACCAGCTGTGCTGTAGTTTTACCACCCACATCCACATAAAGATGAGGCTTTCTGCTCCCGTAAAGATTTACAGCCTCGGAAACCCTGTACAGGGTCGTTATGAGTCGGAACTGACTCCACGGCACATAACAACAATCTGATTTATAAACCTGAATTTATAATTTAAAATTATAAAATTTATAATTGCAAGCCAAACTCCTGATAAAGATTTTTTTTTAACAACTGATGGCCAAATAACGTAAAGTGTACTACAAGCATTTTTTACTACGTACCAATTCCTTTAATCAGGTGGCAATTTGGAAGGTCTATAGATTCTATCTCTCTGGAGGCATTAAGTCGATTCCTGTTGAAAAAACAAACAACAACAAAAAAAGAATCATCTATTTGTTTATGTATTCCCAACCTTGTTTCAGAAAGGACATAAAGAGCCTTATAGCAATACATAAAATACAGCATAAATCTAAAGCAGACGAAAGAAACTAGGAAAACAAGGGTAGGAATGTAAAATAGCACATAAAATCAAGTTAAAACAAAAATGCATATCACACACTTCTATAAGTGGATGTGGGTGGTAAAAGAAAGCCAATAATTCAGCAAATAAAACTTGCAATGCAAATTCCTCTGCAAATATAAACATGACACTAGGTCATAATTCTCACAGCTCTAGTTGTTTGGGAAGAAAGCTTCCCTGTAGAATCAGAAGGCCTGTTTTCCTTCTGAGGCCACAGAGGAGTGAAATATACTCTGATCCTCTTAACCCATCTGAGCATCACACAGTGACGGAAAGGGAACCAAAAGGAAATGGCCTTACATGGAGGCGGACACAAAGAAACCCCAAAAGCAATTATTAAGACAGAAGAGGAGGAGATATCATTCCCATGGCAAGGAATAAGTGCACAAGAGTAAGTCACAAAGTATTGCTACAAAATCATAAAAACCCCAAAATATCTAAATGTGAAGCTTCTTCTCAACATAGCCTCCATTTAGGTCTACACTCTTCTGACGGCGGTGTTTCCATCTCTCTAGCCATTTTCTGAAGAAGTCTGTGTTCTTCGACTGACACCATGTCAAAAGCCGTTTTTACATTCCTTGAGGGACTCAAATTGTGTTCCTAAGTATTGGAAACAAAAAGAAGTCTCAAGAGGCAAGATCAGTATTGCAGGCTAGATGGGTGGGGTATGATTACCTAACAAAATTCTCATTGAACAGCCTTGGTCTCCTCAAAGAATAAACCCACTGTTGTAGGGCACAGGAGAACGGCTCCTTAGAGTTTCTGCAAACATAAACCTTTACAGGAGCAGACACTCTCATCTTTCTCCTGCAGAGTAGCAGGTAGGATTCAAGCGCTGATCTTCGGGTTAGCAGTCCAATGCTTAACCCACTGAGTTATCAGGGTTTCTTCCTCAAAGAATTAGAAGGGCACTGTGACTATGGAAAAAAAAAAAGAAATTTCTTGGCACAACTTTCCTAGCCCTTTTCTCACCAATGCAGTTTCCCACCTTCTTAAAACTACCTAAGTCCCCATTACTGCCCTGTGTCCATTATGAAACTCAATCAAGATGACCCCTTTGGAATTCTAAAACACAGTTGCCATAATGTTTTGAATTTAAATGGCCCAGCAGATTCCCTTGGAAGTCACTGTTTTGAGTGGACCTTGTTCTCTGGTTACGTTCATAAACCCAAGACTTGTCCTGGGTTATGATTATTCCACAAGATCATGTTCATTCATGGAAAGATCAGCTCTTTGAGCTAAGATGTTCACTTAAAGTTAAAAACGTCCAACCACATGAGATCTTAATTCAGTAGCTATTTTGTCAATGGTAATTCTACAATCTTCTACCAGTTTCTAGACTTCAGCCAGAATTTCTTTCTTTGTCGAGGTAAACAGTCTTCCCTCTTATGGCTCATCTTTGTAGTCCTCCTGATATTCCTAGATCCATCTAAAAACTGTTGTTTTATGTGAGGCAGCATTTCTGTAAACTTGTTGAAAAGCTTCAATGATTTGGGAAGATGTATATTTGAGTTTTTATTAGCCCTGGCCTCAAAGTTATTTTGTTTTAGGGCACTCTAACATGAGTAACAAGGAGCTCTGGTAGTGTAGTGGTCACGAATCGGGCTGTGAACCTTAGGGGCAGCAGTTCGAAATTACCAGCTGTTCCATGGTAGAAAGATGAGGCTTTCTGCTCCTGTAAAGATTTACAGCCTCGGAAACCCTGTACAGGGTCGCTATGACTCAGAACTGACTCCACAGCACATAACAACAACAACAACAACAACAAGAGTAAAAGGAGCTCTGGTAGCGTAGTGGATATGAATCAGGCTGCGAACCTCAAGGTCAGCAGTTCGATACTACCAGCTGTTCCGTGGGAGAACGATGAGGCTTTCTGCTCCCATAAAGATTTACAGCCTCAGAAACCCTGTATAGGGTCGCTATGAGTCAGAATTGACTCCATGGCACATAACAACAACAAAAGTAAGGAGTCCTGGTGTGGCACTCTGGATTAATGTGCCAGACTACAAAGCCATTTGAACTGCAAGGTCGGTGGTTCAGGCTCACCAGCAGCTCCTCAGAAACCCTATACAGGGCCGCTATGGGTAGAACCGACTCAACGGCATTTCACAACGGCATTTCACAACGGCATTTCACAACGACAAGAAGACTAAGACATGTATTACTGAGAGAACCTGTCTGCAGCCATCCACTGATCATCAATCACACAATGTTTAAGCACATTTTGGGGGCAGAATACTCATGCATCTATGCATTGGAGTTCTAGTAGCAATACTTTTGTGTCTCACCTCTTTTATTTAGTGGGATAGAAAGGCTGATGAACACCAACTACTCTAATACAATGCTGTATCCTTACATTCTAGAATGTTGAGTTTTGCTGTTGTGTCAAGAAAACACAAATCAAGACATAATGAGAGACTGTTGAACACTAAGAGGACATCTTCCTCCTTCCTCTCATGAAGGAGTTTGGGCAAACATGTGGGTTCTAGTTCTGAAGGACACACATAGGCTTTCCTACCTTCTCCTGTTTGCTACTTCCAAGTGTGATAACAATAATACTCACTTGTGGAGTACCCCACCCAACATGGGCAAAGGGACCCTGTGAATATCTAGGTCAGAGATGGCACAGTTACTGCTATGCACAGGTCACTATCTGTCACAGTGGTCATTCCCTTTAACCCAGAGCCAGCGTCAGAGAGTGTGCCCCCGGGAAACACTACCAACCTATTACAATGGACATTCAAATGAAACCTATTTACCCTTTCTGTTGTCTTTTCTCTCTCTCTTTCCCATTACAATTCAGTTCTTTTCCATTTAGTTACAATGATACAATAGGTATAAGACAAGGAAGAATCCCTGGAGGCACAGTGATTCAGTTGCTAAACAAAAGGTTGGTGGTTGGAATGCACTGACCACTCCACAGGAGAACAGGAGACAGCCTGCTTCTGTAAAGACTGTTGTTAAGTGCCACTGAGTCAGTTCTGACTCATAGGGACCCTGTATAGAGTTGCTGAGGAGCAGCTGGTGAGCTTGAATTGCCAACCTTGAGGTTCAAACTGACTTTGCAGTCCAGTGCATTAATCCACACCACTTGGAAACTGTATGGGACTCTTCTACTCTGTTGTATAGGGTCGCTATGGATCAAAATTGATTTGTCAGCAATGAATTTATATGACACGAGGGAGTTGTGGAAAATGGAATTTTTCCATGAACTTTTTGAGGTCCCCTTGCACAGGAGGAAGACCAGAAGGTGCAGTGCTCAAGCACTTGGCTGCTAACCAAAAGGTTGGTGGTTTCAACGCGTTCAATGGTATGGTGCCATAGGATCAGCACTCAAACTCACCAGCCGCTCCTTAAAAACTCTATACAGTCGTTATCAGTCGGAACTGACTCTATGACACTTAACAAGAAGTGACTCTGTGGGGGAAAAGACCTGGCCATCTGCTTCCATAAAGACCCCAGGCTAGGAAACCCTACGGACCAGGTCTACTTTGTCCTATAGGATCATTGTGAGTTGAAATTGACTCAACAGTACACACGACAACATAATCAAGAAAAAGTATATGCAGTACTGGATTCCTTCAACCGTGCCAGCAACCATTTCCTCAAATGACTCTCACGGGAAACATGTACATCAGGGTTCTTCACTTGGGGTTCCTTGACCTTCAAGGCATCCATGGACAGAATTCACAGAACTTAGGTGGTAAAAATACACATCTTTATTTTCATCTCTGAATGAAACTGAATTACTAAAACTACATTACTAGTAGAGGCACCTGTAACTTGGTCATGATGAAAATTACAGATATTTTTTATAGTTCACTTGTAGATATCTCAAGGACTCCTGGGGTAGCATTGTGGATCAGCACTGGACTGCAAACTGCAAGGTCGGCAGTTCAAAACCCACCAATTGTTCTTTGGAAGCCCTATAGCAGGGTCGCTATGAATCAAAACTGACTCGTCGACACTTAACAATAGCTACAACAGACATCTCAAATACCATTTATACCAACTTCTTCAAAATATCTATTGCTACATATCAACCAATCTCAATCTATTTAATATTTTAACATTAAATACTACATGGATAGTTTACTAAAAAATATTATCATGTCATAAATTAGATTTTACAAAAAGAGCTTGATAATAATATTTAAATATGATTGGCTTCTGTGGCAATCCTATGTATTTTGTTTTATGCATCTCAAAGCATTTTGTTGAGAAGGACTCATCAATGCTTCACCAGGTTGCCAAAGGAGCCCATGGCACAAACAGTTTAGGGACACCTGCTTAGACATCACTGTTATCATAAAACCGGAAACCCCATGTATGTTAGAGTACAAGTACACTTCACAGGGTTCTTAATAGCTACTATTTTGGAAATAGATCACTAGGCCTTTCTTCCAAGGTACTCTAAGTAGACCTAAAGGTGCAACCTTTAGATTAGTAGTTGAGTTGCAAGTTAACTATTTCTGCCACCCATGGACGCCTATTGAATGCTTACTATCGGTGTGTGGCATTCTAAGTAGCAAATACTTGGTATATATACAATCATTTATTTTGCGCAATTCTACCATGTGGTCCGTGGTACTGTTATCCCCATCCTACAGATTAAGGAGTTCAACAGTTGAAATCCATCATTAAAGCAGGTGTTCAAGCCCACCAGTGGATCCTCAGGAGGAAGCAGTGATAGTCTGCTTCCATAAGGATTTACAGCCTCAGGAACTCTAAGACACAGTTCTACTCTGTCCTATGTTGCTGCTGTTGTTTAGTGTCGTCGAGTCAATTCTGACCCATAGCGACCCTGTATAGGGTTTCCAAGGAGCAGCTGCTGAGCTTGAACTGCCGACTCTGTCCTATAGGGTCACTATAATTTGTGATCAATTTGAGGTCAATGGGATGGGTTGGGTTTGGGTTAGTGGAGCTAGACAATTATTTCAGAATATCTGGCCACACAGCATAAATTCTGAACCAACAGTCATTAACATGAAATCAAATCTCTATTTCTTTCACTCAGGAAACAGCATTATCCATAAAGAATGGAATTAAACTACATAGTATTCTCTGAGACTGTTAGTTATCATCTGCACCATTATGCATTTTCTGTACAGCAAAGGTAGCTGTGCTGTGGACCCAGTATGTCTAAGCAAACTGGGAACACAGTGTTACCATTAGCCATTACTTTGTTCCACCTCTCACTGCCTTTGGGCTCTGGAACACTGATGGTTTACAATCTCTAGATTATGAAATCCTTACAAACAGAAGCTTTATCTCTTATGTACAGACTTAATTACACTTTATCTTTTTATATGCAGACTTTGTGAGGCCTTTTGAGCCCCTAAACCACCTGCACTATAAAGTAACTAAGAATTGGGGATCAAGCATGTTAAGCTGGGGAAAAACTTGCTCCAATGACAGAAAATTGTGCCACAGGACTGTGGAGGAACTGGGCAAACTGTATTTGGAATCCAAAATGGGGTTTAGAATATGGGTTCCAGCACTAATTACCTGTTGGAATAATTACTTAAGCCTGTAATGAAGTCTATAATATAAAAAGGATGACATCTCTGACTACTAAATGAAGCATAAATAGAAAAGGTTTTTTTTCCCATATGTCAGTAAACACACACTTTGGTCTGATATAAAAACAACTTTTTATACTTAGAGAGTTTTTGCACAGTGAGCAGTATATAGTAGCTACACAATCAATGTTAATGATGGAGACATAATTTTTTTTTTTTTTTTTTTTAAAGACTGCCCCTTCAGAGATACTCAAATGCAGACTGGATAGCTTTTTGGCAGAGTTATATTCAATGGTCTCTCTCACACATCAAGTGGAATGTTCAGCCAGTTAGTGTGGGCATTCCTGCCCTTAGGAGTCTGATGCCCCCAAGTATCTTGATTCTTTCAAGACCATGTTCTGTGTAATAGCGGACCACTGACCTGGAAATTTGTGTAATTCTGTTTCCTCTTTTAGTGCTTAACTTGGGAGGGGAAGAAAAGGTGGATGTGCCATTCTCCCCTGGGAACCTGAGTCACTTATTGTCCAGAAGGAAAAAGATCGCTTTGATTATATTTATCTATCTGGGACCTTATCACAACAACATAAAGTTATTATTGAGTTAGTTCCAACTCATGGTCACCTCATGTGTTTCATACCATATATTGCCAGGCCTTTCTTCTGAGGTGCCACTGGGTGGATTCTGAGTAGATTTAAACCACCAACTTTTTGGTTAGTAGCCAAATGCTTAGTTGTTTGTGCTACCAGGGACTCTTATCTGGGACAAACTGTAATTCAGTGTTGGTCTGAAATTCAAGAGTAAATATATGTGTCTCACAAAACTCAAAATAATAATAAAAACACTCATAAAAATAAAGACCAGGCTTGCGGGTCTGATAGAGAGAGGTAGAACTCCTAAGACTATGGTCTTCAGACACCTTTCAAGCATAGAACTAATAATTCACGCCCATGGCTCAACTTTCAGTTGAAGAACAGATAGACTTATCAGGTAAACAGTAACAGCAGGGAGGACTGTACTCCTTTGGACAGCCAACCAGATGCGATGAAAAGGGCAGCATTTATTCAGGGATAAAGCAGGAAGGGATAGGAAAGAAGAATGAATGGGAATAGTAAACACATGGAGGAAGTGGAATACATGGGGGGGGGGGTTGCAATCAATGTCACAAATCAACATATGTATGAATTGTTGAATGGAAAACAAAACTGATCTTTATGCACAAATCATAATGAAATTTAAAAGACAAAAGAATGGTCTTCAGAAAGGCCTATTTCCATAAAATCTGTCATAAAACCATATGAAGCACAGTCTTTCTCTGTGCAAACATGAAGTCACTCTGAGTTGGCATAGACTTTAGGACAGCTGGTATACCGTCTTTATTCTAGCGTTTGACTGGTGTTGTTAAGTGCCTTTCAGTGGGTTCCAACTCAGAGAGACCCTATATAGGTTTCCACGACTGTTTATCTTTGTGGACGCAGATAGTCTCATCTTTCTCCTGCAAAATCGCTGGTTGGTTTGTGGTTCACAGTCCAGTGCTCATCTTACAGAGCCACCCAGCTCCAATACTTGGCTAAACATTAGAATTATCAGAAGAGTCTTTAAAAATAAAACTACCAACACCCTTGTGGATCAATTTACAGCAGAACAGTAGACAGGTCTATAAGGTGAAAAACAGTGCTCTGGAGCTATTCACTCAGAACAATTATCCATTAGAGATTAAAAGGGCAATGTTTGTCCAAGGACCAAGTTCAGAAGTCAGGAAGGTGGAAAGAAGGAGGAATGGAAATAGGAAACAATAGTGTAGACCTGGGAGGAGAGATGTTACATTGTGAGGATTGCAATCTATAATATGAAACAAAATGTGTATGAAGTGCTAAATGGAAAACCGATTTGCTCTGTAAACCTTCACCCAATTCACAATAAAAAGTTACAAACAAAAACTACCAACACCTGGATCCTACCATGACCAAATGAATCAGAATCTCCGGGAGTGAGACCCATACACCAGTGCTCCTGCAGATCCAAATGAGTCACGAGAATGAAGAAGCACTGCTCTACTCCAACCCATCCTTCCAGATTTCTTTCTAGAAAGCATAACTGGTTGCATAGGATCTTGTTGTCAAAAATGTCAGTATTTCACCTTTGCCCACCTTTCAACCTGTATTTACCTGCCTTAACTTACCTTATTCTCAACTCTACCCTTCCACAGGTGTACTGTCTAGGCTTCGAACTTTCCTTTCTTGTTGATTTGGCTCTCAAATGCCCTTTCCATCCAAGATAGCCTCCTTCATCCCCAGAGTGGTTCTCCCATCCTCCAAGGCCAATTCAATGTCTCTTCCTCCCTCAACTCCACCTTCTGTGGAGGGAATCTCTCCTTGTCCTGAATATGTTGTTGTTAAGTGCTGTCCAGCCGGTTCTGACTCATAAGCAACCGTATATAGAGTTTCCAAAGGAGCTCTGGTAGCTTAGTGGTTACGAATCGGGCTGCGAACATTAAGGTCAGCAGTTCGAGACTACCAGCTGCTCCGCGGGAGAAAGATGAGGCTTTCTGCTCCTGTAAAGATTTACAGCCTCGGAAACCCCGTACAGGGTCGCTATGGGTTGGAACCGACTCGAAGGCACCTAACAACAACACAGAGTTTCCAAGGAGCAATCGGAGAGCTTGAACCACTGACCTTCAGGTTCAAACCAACCCTGCAGTCCCGCACATTAACCTACAGCATCACGCCATGTCCTGAATAGGTATTTGTTTTATTTCTCCGCCCCCCGTTGTTGTTAAGTACCATCGAGTGGGTTCCCACTCATAGTGATCCTTCATAGGGTTTCCTAGGGCATAAATCTTTGCGAGAGCAAAAAGCCTCATGTTTCTCCCAAGGAAAGGCTGGTGGGTTCGAACCGCTGATGTTATGGTTCAGAGTTCAGTGCTTACCCTACAGAGCCACCTCATTCTCTTCCACCCTGTTGTTAAGTGTCATGGAGTCAGTTCCAACTCATATCGACCCTTTCCAAAGTTTCTTAGGGACAGATGGTGGGTTTGAACCGCCAACCTTACGGTCAGCAGTTCATTGCTTACCCTACCTTGTTTGTTGTTGTTGTTGTTAAGTGCCGTGGAGTCGGTTCCCACTCATAATGACCCTGTACAGGGTTTCCGAGGCTGTAAATCTTTACCGGAGCAGAAAGCCTCATCTTTCTCCTGCGGAACAGCTGGTAGTTTCGAACTGCTGACTTTGCCTTACAATCCAGTAAAAACCCCAGGACTCTATTACAAGCACCAAGGGGAGCACATTATACATAGTTGCTCTAGTTTTCTTGAATTCTTTTTCATGAGCCTTATGAAATTTGAATTGATAACTTAAAAAAAAAAAAAAAGTCTACCCAACAGCGCTTTTTTCCCTTATAACCAAAATGTAAGCCATCATAGTAGGTACTTGTACTGTTTGGCATTCTGGCTTCAGGACTCCCGGGTGAACAGATAAATACGGAAGTGATGTAAGAACAGGAGCTGAGTTATCTCAGATGTCTTTGATCTACAGCGCGAGAATTAGAGCAGAAGAGTTTCTCAAACTATGCGGAGGAGGACGGAGAACAATTTTATTAAGAACGCGGTTTGCTAGAGCCAACAGAAGAGAAGCAATGCCAACGACTTGAAATAAATCTTTATAATGGAAGTTTCAATACATGACTAATGCTTTTGTTTTCAAGTTAAAACACTAGGTTTGCACAGGAATCACTGCAAAGCACTCGCTGCCAACCTAGGCAGAAAATAACTTTTTAAGTCGCAAAGGCTTAGAAACTTTCAAGGTCTAGAGACTCAACCCAAACTTGGTTGGTTTTACCAAAGCCTGGGCGTGGGGGTGGGGATATTCAAGTAGCTGGTGAACCGAGATAATCAACGTTCTTCCACCCCAGCCGTCGTCATCCTCCTTTCCCCCCACCCTAGAATCGCTCCCCTGGGGTTCTGACCTGCGCCCGATACTGGCAACTGCCCCACGGGTTCCCACGACTGAACCTGGGGATCCGCGGGTTGGGGGAAGTTCCCGGAGAGGGGAGTCCTGGAGCACAGCGGAGCTGTGCGCATGAGGGATCCCAACGACAGGCTCTCACCTACCTGAGCGCCAGAAACCTCTCGCCCAGGAGCGCCAGCGAGATTCCCACCAGGCTCATAGCCACCAGCCGCCCCATGGCGCCGGAGCCCGGTGCGCAGCCTGGTCGGGCCTGGCCCGGGAACACGAAGGGCGGTGCCGGCTTCCCAGTTCAGCCGGCGCGGGGTCGGGCTCCGCCCCATCCCCAACCCCTGTGGGCCCTCGTCCCAGACCGCCGAGGCTCCGCCCCCGACAGGCCCTCGGTCTTTGTCAGCCCAAACTTACTCGCCCAGATACCTTCCATGGCACTGGGAATTGTACCCCACACTCTAGACTAGGCTGAAGACTGGAAACTGAATTCCATCACCTCCTTTCCCAAACAACGAACCCACAGAAAACCCTAAGGCAGCACGCGTATCTTTCTCACTTCCCTATTCTTCCAAAAGTTTCCTTACTTGCTATTCCGATAAGAAACTATTAAAGTTTAAAGTCTATTTTGTTTTCAATTATTAGCGGGGAAACAGGATCATGTAAGTATCTCAAATTAAAGTGACAACTTTTTAATAACAGGATGTAAATGGGAGGAAACGAATATTCTGTTGTTAGTATTACTCCATCTAGACTGGAGACCTAAGGATTTACATACACATTTCTTTTTGATCCAAACCCAAATTATGGGAGTAAAAATCGTTTTTGGTTTTCCTTTGTTTTCAGCTTTAACAACATAAGGAAATAAGGAAAAATAAATGTGTATAAAAGAGAAACTTACCCATTAAGATTGATGTAGCTATAGTCAGAAATAATCTAATAATTTCCAGTGTTCAATCACCACCCCACTGTATGTACCATGTCTGATTCGATAACGTTCATTGGGTAGTGCAGAACCAAGCACTTCTGGGACACCGGTTCCTTCGGTTGATTATCTGTGTTAACCTGAGGGGAGGAGACTGCAGCTAATAACAGAACCGCCAGAGTATGTAGACAGTCTCACAGGCAATTGCAATTCTTAATAAACAATAGTTTCGCAAACAACCAGTAAATAAAAGCAGATGCCATTTCTTACCACTCCCTAAGTCCTGCCACCACTCCACCCCTCTCAATGCTCTCTCTGTTATATGTGCTGTGTCTAATTCAGCAATATTGAGCTAAACTGGATTGTAGATGTAATTGTCTTTTGAAGACCCAGCGGATTTTACCTTTTTGTGTGATGCACTGTTCTGATAATTTGGTGAGCCTACAGATAGCTCTGGAGTCCTGGTGTGGCTCTGTGGGCTAATGCGTCAGACTGTAAAGTCGTTTGAACTGCAAGGTCGATGGTTTGAGCTCATCAGCTGCTCCTTGGAAACCCTATACAACAGGGTACGTATGGGTCTGAATTGATTTGACAGCACTCAACAACAACAACAGATAATTCTAAGAATAATCTTTATAAGTGTATACAATAAAGTACATAGGATTTCAAAGGAAACCAATGAAACTGAGAAGCAGCTATCAAAATATTAAAAAAAAAAATTGGCTATATATAAGTGTCTGCAAATATTGCATAAGACCATTATTGGAAAAGCCTAAGAAAAGATACCCATACTTTGTTGTTGTTGTCAGGTGCCATCGAGTTGGAGACCCCATGCACAGCAGAATGAAACAATGTCCGATCCTGGGCTAACCTCACTACCGCTGCCACACTTGACGCCATCAATGATGCCACCTGGCTGATCCATCTCGCTAGAGGTCTTCCT